GGGCAGCGGCGAGGCTGGGAATCGTGGGCGAGTTTTTGGACGCGGGGCAGGAGCAGCAAGAGGCACAGCAGGTACTGCGGCTGCGGTTGCCTTACCTGCCATTGCGGCAGTGGGTGGACGACATCAAAGCGGCGGCGCCGAGGGCGTTTGGGGCGCTGCCAGTCGCTTCAGACGCCTACCTGGAGTTGTCCTAGGGATAGAGCGCTCTTGGGTGATTGCTCCCCTGCAAACTGTCCCCACCAATTATGTCTTGACACAATCAGAAAGTCCAAAAAGCGTACAATGCAAAGGGATGGGCCAGTCACAGCGCAATGTGTTACATGCTCACAACGGACAACCTCAACAATGCGCACCAGTGCGGCGCGAAAAAGCAAACTACGGCAACAACGACGCGTCGACTTGCGAGGCAGCATGCCGGGGCGGGTGCGCTGTGCGTTGGACAGAGAATCAGAGAGTCAGGTGTCGGTCGAAATCTAAAGTGAGGCCAGTTGTTGGCAGGCACATACCCTGTTGAGTTGGTCGATTTTTGACCCCCTGCACTGGAGACATGAGATCTCAAAACCTCCGCACAGACGCAACAATCCCTCCGACAACCCATAACAGGCCTCAAACATGGACACCGCTGCGGCCCCGCCGGATGCAACACTGGGCCAGTGGCGACAGTGTGCGTGCGCGAGACACCCCCAGACGCCTCGCAACAGCAAGGCGTGGCGTCATGGCAAGGGAAAACAGTATGCAGCGTCAGCAGTAAAAATGCTGCACGCCCAACTGGTGCAGAGGTGGGTGGGGGTGCTTCCCGGGAACATCCGAGGACAGAGGCGAGTTTGAACATAAACAAACGTGTAACATTGAAAAAACCAACCAAATGCAAAGGGGCCCTTGTGCCGCAGCGCGCGCATCAAGTGCCGACGCTGCAGCGGCTGGTGCACTGCCGACGCCTGCGCTCAGTGCTACATTCACGAGGCAACCTGCCTGAGGTTGAGCACAGCGCACGGCCGGACGAAGTGCGGTGGCGCGCTGCGGCGGGAGGGCCCTGCCCAAGGCCACAACCAGGGGTTGGGGCGCGATGCATATCTAGGGCCCGCTACGGGGCGTTTTGCCAGCATTCGCAGTGCACCAGCGCACGCACAACGGCAACAGCCGCTGAGATGCGCTATGCGAGTGTAAAGGCGACCAGGGCAGCACTGCACGCAGAACAGTCGCGCAGAGACAACCCAGGAACGTCACAACAGGCCTGTGAAAGAAAGCCACGAAAGGCGGCTGGATGCATTCCCTTTGCGGTACAGGCTCTGACGCGCTACCCAGTGTCCGACCAGAGCATGGGCAAAGGAAAGGCTAGTGGCAAGGCGCAGCTGCACCTAGCTGCGCAGTAGCCCTGCTGCCCCCACGCCCCACAGCGCCCGTGCAGCACAAACTTCTCTCAATGCTCGATGCAAGCGGCCAAAGAGCCGCCGCGCGGCTATGCCCCGAAGGACCGGGCACTGATGCACATAAAGGCTGCAGGTACCCCGCCCACACACAGCTCGGGCAGCCGCCAGCGGCCTCCAACCCCAGCCGCTAGTGTACAACCGCACTAATCTTCCACTACCACCGCTCAGCTGTTGCCACGCGGCGCGCTTGATGACACGCCGACGGCGCCAGGTCAGATCACATAGTCCAGCAGAAACCCGATCTGGTCCATATCATCGCAGGGCTCAGACTCCGCGGCGCGCTTGATGACGCGCGCCGGCACGCCGACGGCGACGCTGTGCGGCTCCAGGTCTGTCACCACGACGCTGCCCGCGCCCACCTTGGCGCCAGGGCCCAGCGTCACCGGCCCCAGCACGGTGACGCCCGCGCCCAGCAGCACGCCGTGCCCGACCTGCGGGTGGCGCACGCCACTGCCGATGCCGCTGCCGCCCAGTGTGACGTGGTGCAGCATCGACACGTTGTCCCCGATGGCGGCGGTCTCGCCGATGACCACGCCCGTCGCGTGGTCGAGCAGTATGCCGCGCCCGACCCGCGCCGCGGGATGGATGTCGACGTGGAACGCCTCGCTGATCCGCGACTGCAGCATCAGCGCAAGTGCGCGCCGCCCGCGGAGCCACAGGTGGTGCGCGATGCGGTGCGACTGCACGGCCTGGTAGCCCTTGAAGTGCAGCAGCGCCTGGGTGTAGCGGTCGCAGGCCGGGTCGCGGTCCAGCACGGCGTGCAGGTCCGCCATGGCCGCCTCCATGACCGAGGGGTCCTCCCTGTACACGTCCTCCGCAATCTGCTTGAGCTGGGTGCTGTAGAGGGTGGGGCTGGCCAGCTTGTTGGCCAGGACAAAGGCCAGCGCCTGCTCCAAGCTCTTGTGGGCCAGGATGCTGCTGTAAAGGAAGCTGGCCAGGGTGGGCTCGTCATCCTGCGGTTGGGACAACGTTCCGAGGTGGGGCGCAAGCGTGCGCGCGCGTCAGCGGCGCGGTGGCATTGTGCGTGCTACGCGTGAGAGGACCGCTCGCATGGAACCGAGCAGCTCAGCTGTGCGATTGCCGCTCCTGGCCCCGCCAAGCCTTTCCCTGCAGTGGCGCCGCAATCCTGGCCTGGCGATCGCAATGCGGAGACGCGTTGACCGAACCTAGCTTGCTTGGCACAAGTGCAGCATACCATACCAGCAAACCCTGCTCACCGCATCACGCTTGCACTCCTGCCGGATCCTCTCCCACAGCTGCTCCTTGCTAAGGTGATGCGGCTGCGTCCGCCAGCCCTCGGACGGGTGGTAGGCTGCTGTGCAGCGAGGGATGGAGGGGAGCGTGTGAGGGGGGCCGGCGACGTGGACGGGTGCGAGCGCAGCCACACAGCGCGGCTTCCAACACGAAGTGGCTGCCATGGCACCTATCGCGCGAAAGGGTGCAGCAGTGCGACAACAACAATGTGATGCCCAATGTGCACTTGCCCGCTGCGCCAACGCCAATCCATGCACAGCGCTTACATCATCCACGGTCGCCATCGCAACACCCACCTTTCGCGCACGGCGGCTGTCTCTGCTGCTCCCGTGTCTTCTGCCGCTGCTGCTGAGGAGCCTGCGTGGGCGCCTCAATGGCCATTCGTGCTGCAAGGCTCGTTCGCACCAACTCCAGGTCCTGGGTCGTCAGATACGACGTGCGTCGCGAAGGCGCAGCAGGCGCCGCCGCTGCGCACGCCGCCACAGCGGGCACCGCCGGGGTGCATCCGGAAGCTGCGGGCATGGGATAGCCGATCGAGAGTGTGCAAGAGTGTATCAAGACCCGGTTCATCACCTCAGCAAAGCGGTTCGGATACCCCGCATCCTGTCCAAGCACCTTCGCTTTCACCCCGCGCACCTATGCGGGCTGCCGGAAGGGCGCTGCGGGATGCATACGAATGAGCCTCGGCACGAGGCCTGATGCCCGCGCCGCGCGTGGGCTGCATTGTTGCAAAGAAGCCCGCAGGCAAGACTGAGCCTGACGAAGTGCCGGGTCTCAAGAGCTAAGGACGCGCTGTGTAGCTAAACAATCCCTAAAATACCAACGCGCTTGTGTACTTGGCGTGACAAGCTGCTGGACGCCAAGTGCTGCGTGCTCGTGCAGAGAATCAAGATGGATGGGCTTGTGTATTCGTTTTTGCGAGCGTGAACTAGTTTTGTTGCACGGGGGAACGTTAGGAGTCACTGATATGTCATCCCAATCTGTCCTCGAGTTGATGAAGAGTGGTTTACGACGGCTCCCTCACTCCTGCCGGCCTTGTGCGCCGTCAAACTGCTACGGCTCCTGTGCTCGCGGCTCCTGTGCGCTACAGGTCCTCACTTTGTTGAGAGGCGATGATGGTAATGCTGCAAAGTGAAGACGTCTATTACAGGCCACATAAAGGGGGCTCGAAGTTGTTCGCTGCTGCCCTGAAGCTGGCTCTCACTCTCGAGGCACTGGTTGGCCAACCGTATCAGGGCGCTGGGCAGGCGCAACTCATACCTGTACCACTTTCTTGAACATGTTTTCATGATAAGCTGGGACACGTGGCCGGACGCATGGTTGGGTCATGGGCAGGGTTGTTTTTTGGGGGGGAGGGCGATGGACTTCCCGATTATGGCGTCAGCCTTTGCTGGCGACTTCTCATAGCGCTCCGCAGCCCTTGGGCCTGACAGCCTACACCACTTAGTCGGCATGAAGCACGCGCAGATTCTAGCAGGGGTGGCGCGTCCCTGTCAGCTGGAACAACGCCCATCTCTTGGGATCTGCCTTGAGATTTGGCCAGTGCCAGCATGGATACCTCAGAGCGATGCTGGCTGATGCATATGCTCAGGACAAGCAACCTACCTCGAAGAGGCAGACGCCGCCGATCACCGGGATGCCATGCATTGCCACAACACTCAGATAGCGTGCTCCTTGGCCATTTGGCACATACAATCCCTCGCACTGAACCAGTGCAGTAGCCGTAGTGCAACCCACTAAATAATGGGGTCAAGCGCCAGCACCAAAGACCCAGGCCAGGGCTTTACAGTATCCAAGGACACAGTGCGCACAGTCCTGCTCCAACGGCATGCATGCAAACTGCGGGCCAAGCCGGGCACCTGTGCGAAGAGAAAGAAAGGCGCATGCAGGGGCCACGACACTGCCGTCAGGAAGGGACGTGCCACGCGCACACGACCGCAGCCAACAAACGCAAGAGCAAATGGTAAGCCAGCCAGAGGACATGTCAATAGCAGACAAATGCAAGTGCAGTTCCATGCGCGGCTGCCTATCCGTGCGTGCACAGGTCACCCTGCCAAGGGGGCACAGGCAACTGGGCACGAGCAAACCTCTGGGAGCCATCTTTTTCACAACGGCGTACCTGAGGCACCACTGTGAGACTGTGGCATGCGTGACCGCGCAGTGGGTGGCATCGATAGTGCATGCTGTGAGCCACCCCTGGGACGCCTGCACGTGATGGTATCGAGCAGGCGTCCCACGACCTGCAAATGCATGGGTTTAGTCCACACTCCCGTGCAAGTGAAGCCAGGCTGTCATTCCACGCACTGGCGCCCAGGAGGCCCTAGCCATGACGATGCTGGTTCCTGCTGGTGCCGTTGCAGCCAGCCAGCCAACCATGGTGACCGAGTGCAAGGGGATGTGGTTGGAGCGGGGCCGCTCATCGTCGCCTCTACAGGTGTAGTGCAGTTGTTACCATACAGGGATGTTTGTCAACTTCGGGTGCGCCCCACCGCCTGGCCCCCCGGCCGCTCACAATCTGTCGCCGTTTGGGTTCGGGGCAACGCGCGCGCCGGGTTCCGCTGGGGCGCGGGTGCGGGCAGGGCGCACCGGCCCGCGCACCATAACCGAAACTGTCGGCTTGTGCCCTTCAAGACCGTAGAAATGTGCAAAAATCGTCGTCGAAAAGAAATCAACTCACGAAGGATGCCAGCTCAACGGCACCTTGCCTACATATGACACACTGGCAACTGTACTGCCGGTGAGGCGCAGTGACTGCTTATCCGAGACATGGCCGCCGCGACAACGGCAGCAACCGTGTAACATTGTGCCCCATAAATGCGGTTTTTGAAGGTCTGAAGTGTTTTACAAGCGTGCTTCGTCAGATCACGTACGTGGGCTTGCACAGTGTGGATCAATTCTAGGGGTGGTGCTGCCCTCAATAGCGGCGGATGTGTCTAAAATCATTTGAGTTGTAATCCGTTGCAAAAGTATCCGTGATTGCTTTCCTCCGGCAGGCATCATCTGCTGCGCTGCGGGGGCGGCGCCTGCAAGCGACGCACGTGCGGCATCCGCAGTGGCCCCGCGGCCGCTGCAACAACAGCAGCAGCCAAGGACGGCGGGCGCCCCTGCCCAGGGCGGGCGCCCCTGCCATGGACCCCGCTCCCAACCTGGGGTACCTGCTGTCCTCGCGCCTGGGCGACGACTGGAGCGCGGACCGGTTCCAGCCCAAGCCGGAGCTCCTTGCCCAGCTGTCAACAGACGCGTTCGAATCCCTCGACCCCTTGGTCAAGGCGCGCCTCATTCTCTCCTGCCTAATGGCCGCGTCCCGCCAGCAGCCGCGTGGCGCCGCGGCTGCGGCTGCGGCTGGCGCCGAGACTGGCGGCTTGCAGTCGCAGCAGCAGCAACCGGGCGGCGGCAGCCAGCTCGCGGCGCAGCTGCGACGGCTGGGGGACATGGCCCTGGCGGACGACGATGCGTGGGTCAAGGTGCTGGGCGCTGCCGCGGGGGACTTTGATGGACGGCTGGACCTCGGTGCGGTGTGCGCTGCCAACCCCAAGGTGGGCAGGCTCCCTGAAAAGCTGGCGCAAAGGGAGGGCGGCGGGATGCATTGGACGGGGGCCCACGGGCCGCATTGGAGACAGCAAGAGGAGCAGCTGAGCAGCGAAGAGCGCCGGTTCGGCCAGCCGCAGATTGCAGGAGCCGTCGCCGCGCCGCGCAACGAGCCATGCCCCCGCTAGAAGCAGCGCCGCCGCCGCCGCCCCTGCACAGCCGCGCGGACCAGGTTTGCCATCCTTTGCGCCTTCTTGAGCCACCCCGCAGGTGAACGCGACCGTGGCGCGGCTGCGGGAGCTCGCGGCCGGCTGCACCAACGCGCACCTGTACCCCCCTCTTGAGGTGCGGCGCGGCGCGACCAGGGGTGGGTGTGGGGTCTGCTGTTGGTGCCTGCGACTGCAGAGCATATCGCTGCTCGTATCCAGTCCTCTCGGGTGTCTCTGTGGCTGCAGGCCCGGCCGCGGTGGCATGCGCCCCCAACCACTCCCAGCCCCTCCCCACCAAACGCCAACTGCCGCAGGAGTTGTACCTGGCGCCGTCAAACGCCGAGGCTGCGGCGGCGCAGCAGCAGCGGCAGCACCACCACTTCACCCCCAGAGCGCCCGGGGAGGTGCCCGCCCTGCGCGTGCGCGCCCGGGCGCCGGGCCCGCTCAGCCCCAAAGGGCTGCCGCGGCAAGGTGGGATGAGTCGCAGCCCTCTGCACGACTGGGGCTGGCACAAAGCCAAAGGGGCGATTGCTTTCCAACGCAGCGGTCGCACGCCGGGGCAAGTTCCTTTTTGCCGCAATGTGAAGCTTGGATGTTTTTGGTGTTGCCATTACTCCAGGCCGTGTCCTGGCTTCAACCTGCTCGTCGTCACGACCCGTCGTCAGCGCTCTGACCCACCCCGCGCGGTTCGTGCGCACGCGATGCTTCGCGGCTCCGCAGGCTCAATGCTTGCGCGGCGCGGCACCAGCACAGGGGAAGACGCCGCATTCCGCCCAGCACGGGCGGCCGAGGCGCCGCCGCGTGCCCAGGTGTGTGTGTGTGTGTGTGTGTGTGTGTGTGTTGATGGGGGTTGCGGCAGGTGGGGATTGGTCAACTGTCGTGAAGCCATTGGCCATGCCCCCACATTGTCTCTGCAGTTATGCCCATACATGTGCAGGCGCCACAAAATTGAACGCGCACATGTGCAAATGCACTGCATCTGATTGCACGGGTCCTTCCACTGTACTCATTCGTTCAGCCCCTCTTCCGCGCGCCGTGCACGCCCCGCAGCAGCGCGCTCAGCAGCAGCCCGAGCGGCGCGCCGGCAAGCACCCTGTGCAGCCAGTGGGTCAGAGGGAGGCGGTGTCGCGGCTGTCGCTGCAGGCGCTCGCAGGGAACAAGGACGCGGCCAAGCTCCTGCGGCAGCAGCAGAAGGAAAAGCTGCTGCAGCAGCAGCAGCAGCAGCAGGAGCAGCAGCAGCAGCAGCAGCAGGCGCTTGAGCCACAGCAGCAGGCCCCCGCCGGTGGCGCGGCGCCCAAGGTTCGACTCCCCCTGCAGCTCAAGCGGACCGGGGGGGCAGCCCAGCCCGTCCAGCCGAGGGCCCCGCCACCAGGGCCGGAGGAGGACGAAGCAGGGGCCGAGCCGGTGCTGGGCAGCAGCGCTGCGCGGCTGGCATCGTGGGACGACGATGACGACGACGATTTCGAGCCGGCCCGCGCGACGGCGGCCGCGCCGCGGCCGGCTTTGCAGATCGCGCGCGGCGGGCGGCAGCCGTCAGGGCGTCTCCGCGCGGCCGCGGCGTCGGGGGCGGTGGCGGCAGACGTGTCGGGGGAGCAGCGGGCGGCGGAGGAGGACGCCCTGCTGGAGGATGACGTGGCGCAGGGAGACGGGGCTGAGGCGCCGCAGTCAGCTGCGCGGCAGCTTCAGGAGCAGCAGCTGAGGGAGCTGTTTGAAGATGAGGACGACGAGGCGGAGGCCGGGCCCACAGCTGGCGGCGCGTCGGCCACGGGCGCGGCGGGTGTGGAGGCAGCTGCGGCGGGCACGCCAAGTGCCAAGGCGAAGCGGCGGCGCGCGGTCATTTCTGACGATGACGAGGATTAGGGCAGGATTGCTGGGTTGCAGCCGCAGGATGCATTTGACCATCGACAAATGTTCGTTACACGCTTGAAGCACGTCCTGGCAGCAACTGCTGTGGTGTGCGGTTGCTAATCAATTGATTTTTGGTGGCTGGAGTTTCAGACATTTGTGTAGTAGTGTGCAAATGTGTGTGATGATGCGACAAAACAGCAGCTGTCGAGCAGCTGTTGAGCCGCAGCAGCGGCATCTGCTGCTACTGCTGCCACTGACAATGGTGATGATAACAATGCAGTGCCTGCATTGGTAAACCGGGAGTGCAGAGGGCACCCGCAACACCTCTACAACCAATCCACCACCCCCCAGCCGCCGTCACCCTCCGCAGCCCCGGCGCTTAGCGCGGCCAGCAGCTGCCCCTGCCCCGCCAGCGCCTCGACCAGGAACGCCGCCCCCAGGGCCGCCTCTTTTGTGTCCCCCTCGTACGCGCCGTGGCTGCCTGGCACTGTCCGCAGCAGCAGCATCGGCTCTGCAGCACGCGGGCCCCGCCCGTCGCCGGCCGCGGCGGCGCGCAGGCGACGCAGGCGCGCGGTGGCCTTCGCGGCGTCCCAGAAGCCGACGTCGCGGTCGTGCAGCGCGGCGCGCAGCAGCAGGTGCGGCGGCCCCGGCAAGTCGCCGCCCTCCGTGGCTCCCGGCGCCGGTATCCCCGCTGCCGCGAGGGCCTCTAGGTGTTGATACGGCGACCACCCCGCCAGCGCCGCCACCGCCGCCGCCGCGCTGTCGCTATCGCTATCGCGGTCGCCATCACCATCACCATTGCCCCCCGCCCCGCCGCCGTGCTCCTCTGCGCCGATCCATTCTAGGCTACCCTGCTTGTGCCGCACCAGGGCCTCAAGGGGGTCCAGGCACGGCACAGTCAGCACCGCCGCCGCAGCCAGCCCCGGCCTCGCAGCCAGCGCGCCGCCGACCAGCCAGCCGCCCGCGCTCGCGCCGGCCAGCGCCAGGCGGCCGCGCGCGCACGCACCGCGCGCGACCAGCATGTCGGCGGCCGCCGACAGGTCAGCGACCGACACCCGCGCCTTGCGCGCCGCGCCGCGCCCTGCCTCAGCCCAAGCGCGGCCCAGCCAGCCGCCGCCTCGGACGTGCGCGATGGCCACGGCGAAGCCCAGTTGCATGAGCAGCAGCCTCGACTCATCGAAGGCCGCCTCAGCCTCGGGGAGCCCGAAGCTGCCGTAGGCATGCAGCACCAGCGGCGGCCCGCCGCCGCGCCCGTCCTCGCTGCACAGCCCTGCCTGCAGCGCCGCGCGCTTTGCTTCGTGCCAAGCGATGGTGATGGGCACCCGGGTGCCGTCGTGCGCGGCGGCCGAGGTTGTGGCGAGGCGGTACCGCGTGCGGTCAAACGCAGGGTGGGCGGCCACCGCCGCAGCGGCGCCGCCCAGCAGCAGCCGCGCTGTGGCGCCGGCCGCCAGGTCGAGCAGCAGCTGAGAGGGCGGCGTGACGAGGGACGAGAAGCTCATCAGAAGCTGCCCCAGCGGCTGCTGCTGCTCCTGCTGCTCCTGCTGCTTTTGCTGCTTCTGCAGCTCCTGTTGCCCCTGCAGAACCTGTTGCTTCTGGAGCTGTGGCACTGTCCAACCGTTGACGCCCATCCACTCCCAGGTCACGCCACGCAGTACACACGAGACGTCAGGCAGAGGCACTTCGTACTCTGCCGCCACCCGCAGCGAAACTCCGCCCGCTGCACAGCTGCCATCACCGATGCCGCTACCGCCGCAGCTGGCGTCCTCAGCGAGCTGAAGATGCAGCAGGCGCGCCACCAGGCGCTCACTGCAGCCGCCTTCAGCGTCCAGCAGCCGGCAGAGCAGCAGCACCTCGCGCGGCGCCAGCGCGCCGTCGCCAGCACCTGTGCCGCTTGCTTCCGGAGGCAGGAGAAGCGCCTCGAAGCGGCAGCCGGGCTCTGCGGACAGCAGGCGCTGCCAGGGAAGGCGGTCCGCCGCGCAGGCGCTGCCGCTGCCGCCGCTGCTGATGCTGCCACCGCCGCCACTGCTGGGAGGGGACCACGGCATCCGGGACACTGACAGGGTGCCGCCTGGGCTTGTGCCTGACCACTGCCTGCAGTCGAATTGGGGTGGGGATGCACAGTTGACCAGGCTCACTGGCTTTGTTGACAAGTGAGGGGCACACATGCGCCATGTGGTACCAATCAGCAGACCGTTCTTCCCTGGCATACCAAATCCAACCCCACCATAAGGAAGGCTACCCACCGAGCAAAGAGCCAGCCGCCCCAGGAGCTCACTGCCATCCGGGCCGCTGAGTCAACGGGCAGAACCCCAACCCAGCCACTGCCAGAAGCTGCCAGGCCATGAGCAGCGGCCAGGCTGACCCTGGCCTCCCCCCCTGCCATGGTTCGAGAGGCCTCGTCGTCGCTGCCGCCGCCGCTGCCGCCGCCGCCACAGCGGCGCACGATGCCCCGGAGCGGGTCGCCGCCGGGCGGCAGGCAGCGCACCTCCACAGGGGTGTTGTCGGGTGCTAGGCCCGCCACAAAGACCACCCACGTGCCCCCGCCGTCGCCTTGGCCGATGGGCGCGCTGCGCCACAGGCACGCGCGCACGCCCCAGGGATCGCTGTACACAAGTGTGCCGTGCTGCTGCTGCGGCACAATAGGCTGCTGCAATGCTGCAGGCGGACCAGCGTTGTTGCTGCCCTCAGTGGTGAACGAGAGCGCCCGCACGTCCATCTCACCCGCGCAGAGGTACAGCAGGTGCTGCTGCTGCTGCTGCTGCTGCTGCTGTGGCTGCTGTGGCTGCTGCCGCTGCTCACTTCCCTCCGGTCCCCAGTCGTTCATCTCGCTATCTCCAGGCGCCACAGAGGGCGGCGCACCCGGTGTCAAAATGCTGCTACTATTGCTGCTGCTGCTGCTGCTGCTGCTCCTAGTGCTCACACTGTCGGCCAAAACAGGTGCAAAGGAGGCCCAAACCGCCGGCCCTGCCACAGGGCTGACTGCGGCAAGCTGCTCCCGGCCCCCTCCGATGCGCACCACGCGCAGCTCGAGCGGGCCACCGGTCATGCGCCGCTCCACTACAGCGACAAGGTCGCCTGCTGGCGAAACATCCAGGCTGTGAAGGGTGTAATGGCCCTCCCCGGCGCTGCCAGCAGCCTTGCGCTCGTCTAGAACCAGCTCCACCGCCGCAAGGGTCGCGGCCCCGCTGCCACCGGTGCATTTGCCAGGCCCTGTGACGCCGCCGAGCGCCCGCCGGTAATGGACTCTCAAAGCAGACCCCGGCTGCCGCTCCGTCCAGTAAATGTGGCGACCTATTGCACGCCCCCTGGGGCCATATCCGCGCGTCGGGCGCCACGCCATCAAGGTGGTGGCCGGGCTGATGCGGCCGCAGCTGCTGATCAGGTCCGGAGCGGCGGCCGCACCAGGGGTGACGGCGCCGACGGCTGCAGGCCCGTGGCTTGTGCCTGAGTCGCTGCTGGGCTGCGCCTGTTGACGCAGCTCAAGGAGGCCTTCAGTACCGCTTTCGATAACGTCATCATAATCGTCGTTAGCAGCAGCCGCAGCAGCAGCCTCCTTCATCGCCGAATGCAGGCGCCACTCTTGCAGCAGCGCCTGCAGGCGGCGTTGCAGGGGCTTGGTGTGCGCCATCGCGGCGGCGGCGTACCTGCGCCAGTCAGCGTCAAGGGAGCCGGCATTGTGCAGCCGGGCGTGTCCGGGAGTATGCCGCATGGAGTTTGATGCACCCCACATGCGCTGGTGTGTGTGTGCGCCAGGCCTGAAGCGTCACCGCCAGCGCAGGCGCCGCATGGCGATGCATGCGCAGCGCACGCGGGCTGCGCGCGTGTGGATGCGCCTCTGCGGCGCTCGGCAGCTGCCGCGGCGCCCACCTGTTCTCTTCGCTGAGGTATTGCAGCACCTCTGAATCCTCAAATCCCTGCCGCCAGATCCAAGCAAACTCATCGCGGTGCAGTTCGGCGCCCCTCCACAGCAAAGGCTCGGCCGCGCCCACCCGCGGCACGGGCGGCGTGGTCGGGTCCGAGGGCGAGGGCGGTGGGGCGGGCCCGGGGCTGGAGGCCGGGCCCGGCGCTGGCGAGGCGCGCGACGTTCCCGCGCTGCAGGACCGCCGTGCTCCGCGCGGCCGCAGCAGCCTTGGCCACTGCCGCGGGGTGCACGATGGCTCAATGGGCCTGCACCAGTCGCTGGTCACGCCGCGGCTCGTCAGCAATGCGGTCATGTCAAGCCCGGCTGTATGAAGCACGGTTTTGTATAATTGAGACTAGCCTCAAGATGCCGCCCAAGCCTGTTACTAATGGACCCATGGCGCAGAGCGGAGCCGAGCGCCGCGCGCAGCGCACCACCGCAACGCTGATCTGGGCAGCAAGACACTGCACCTTGCTCTGGCTCGGTTTCCTGCCATCCGCTATCAGGTCCAACGTATATATGCTTTCTCGGCTCACCGCATGCACAACATAACAGAAGCCGGGCCCGAAGCTAGGCAGGCACTGTAATGCCAAAGCACAAAGCTCACAGCAGGACCGTGCAACGCCCTCTTCGTTGCCAGCCTTGATACCAGCGCTCTTAAGGCCAAGGTGCGGGACGTCCAGAGGAGCACGCGCAGCCAGCAGCATCCCGCGGAGTGGCTGCTGCACGGGCCGACTTGCAAGCTCAGTGGCTGCTGGCCGTGGCAACAAGCAGCCGCGAGTTCCTTTTAGCTGTTGGTACAGCTGCACCCGCCCCTGGACGTTGTTTCGCCCTTGCCTCTGCACCCATCGTATCGCTGCTGCCCCCGCTGCACTCCTCCCGCGCTTGCAGCAAGCCAACATGGGGGGCGAGACCGTGCGGCTGTTCGTGAAGGGCCAAATCCTGGGCTACAAGCGGGCCAAGGCTAACCAGCACAACCACACGGCGCTCATCAAGATCGACGGCGTGGCGTCCAAGAAGGAGCTGGACTTCTACCTGGGCAAGCGCATCGCCTACATCTACCGCGCCCACACCGAGAAGCAGGGATCCAAGCTGCGGGTCATCTGGGGCAAGGTCACGCGCGCCCACGGCAGCGGCGGCACCGTGCGCTCAAAGTTCAGGAAGAACCTGCCCCCGAAGAGCCTCGGCGCGTCGGTGCGCGTGATGCTCTACCCCAGCCGGGTGTGAGGCGAGCTTGGGCCGCTGCGGCCCCACGGCGGCCTGTAATGTGTCGATCCTATGGTGTCTTGTGGGTCACCAGGGCAGCCCACCTCGTGAGCGATTACAGTGGCGGCTGCTGGAGCGAGAGCACAGCCGGACGCGCAGCACAGCAACGGTGCGCTGGGAGGCGTGGCTGATCAGTGGCATGGATGCCAGACCTAGCTGCAGCAACAGAAACAGCTTTTGCAGCAGCAAGACACAAGGGACAGGAGTATTGGCCGGGCAGCAGGCTGCAGCATTACCTGGCGCAGGGGTGATGTGCAATGTTGCGGCGTCGACTGGCAGCACCTGATTTCGGGCAGGTGTAGGCGGTGCACGGCAGCATTGTTTTACAGCTGCCAGCTATGCTGCGGGTTGGTTGGCGCAGCCGGCACCTGAGTGCGCGTCTGCGGCGCGAAAAGCATACACTGGCAGCAGGAGGACGCCACGGCAGTGGTGGTGAGCCCAACGCAATGGCAAAAGCCTGAATCTAACAACACACACCAGCACAAGCAAGTGGCTTACAGAGTTGAGGGGCAAGTCGACGACTCGAGCATGCATAAGGTGCTGCGCATACGCCGCAAGTCATATTTGCAAGAACGAAACGAAGGTGCCAGTTGACTAACAAAGAACGAGTAAAGGGTTGGCGTTCAGCAGCGCAGTTGAAAGTGCAACGCATACACAAATTGAGCTGTGCATGCACAAAAAATGAGGGCAGGGACGCTGAACATATGCCAATGCAAAATCATTCAGATTGATTGAGGTCAGCGTGCGGACTCTGGGGCCTGAGCAGTGGCCATCAAAGCATGAGCTCAGCTGTGTATGTCATATTCCCTGCATTCTCCGAAGGCCAACCCCCTGTACGCGGCCAACAACGCCTTGAAGCGCGGCCTCGGGACACTCAGGCCCAGCCGCTGCCAACGCGGGTCGCGGCGGTCCACCGGCGGAGGAGGCTTCCTGCAACAAGGGTGGATTGATTGGGGTCCGCAGGGGCGCTTGGGCAATGCTGGGTGGGAACTGTGAAACTCTGGGACACAAAGCAAGCCGTACAGGTACTGCCAAGATCACCACCAGGAACAGAGGGCCTGACAGGCTCAGCACTTGCAACACCTGGAGGAGGGGGGAGGGCCCGCACAACACTCACGTAGCGGAGTACAGCAGGCCCCAGTTGCGGACAGCACCGCTCTGAAACAAAGTGTGACATTCCTTGATGTCGTCTCGCCACGCGTCCAGCCGCGCCGCCGTCCGCTGCCACAGCCGCCGCGTCTCGCTCCGACGCAGCGCACTCCCTGCCGTGCGCCCGCGCCCACCGCGCGCTTCAAATGCAGCCTGCGCGCCGCCCTGGCTGCGGCGTACAGTGTAGCCGGTGAGCACCTTGTGCCGCAGCAGCTCGCCGCCTCGCCACAGCCCGAGTGCTGCCGAGTCCGCGGACAGCAGCACCAGCAGCACAGACCCCACGTACGAGCCCCTGATGCCACCACCGCTGCCGCCGTGGCAGCTGGCGAGGGATGCGGCCCGCAGCTCTGCCAGCTGTGATGCATCCTCGGCATCCCAAGCTGTCTCGTCGTCATCCAAATCTTCAAGCTCCGCCATTTCTATTTCGCCAAGCGCCAACCCAGGGTGCAATTCGTTGTCCGGCATCCCTGATTCCAAAAGTGGTACGCGCCACGGCTGGAAACCCTCTGCTGCTGCTACTTCTGCTGCTGCTTCTGCCTTTGACCAACAGGGGCCTTCCACGTGCTGCCCTGTGTGCGCGATAATTTTACGCTGGCTGCGCTGCAGAGGAATTCCGCTGACCAGCTGCGCCAGGTGTTGCTGCGGGCCAAGGGTGCCCTGAAGAGGAGCCGGCACGATGCGCGGTAGGCGCAGCTCGAGGGCTAGGCGCCCCGTGGCGTCAGCTGTGCACCATGCGTGCACCTCCTGCCGCCAGATGGCCCTGGGGTAGGCCGGGCGGGCGGCAGTGCCATGGGTGCCAAGAGCGTGAAGCGCACGCAAGCAGGTGCTGTCCGAGGGAGGAGGGTGTGAATGATCTAAAATCCTCAGGCAACCTGCAGGCAGCCGGGACATCGGTTGAGGCTAAAAGCAGAAGCAAGAGACGGCACCAGCGCGGCGCTGCAGCACACACCTGGGGTACTGGTTGCTGAGCGCCTCCAGCCGCTCGAGCGCCTCGGCGGCTGGGAAGGCGGCCCGCTCGCATGGCTGACGGACGCCTGGGTCCGCCACTGGTGCTGCTGGCCAAGAGCTCGTGGGAGCCGTCCCTGTGCCTGGTAAGGGATTGGCCTCGAGCCAGGCCATGAACTCTTCTCGTGCCGCCTGCAGGTGCCAGCAGCGGCGCAGCGCCCTGGGCACACTGCACACAAGCTTGAATTGCCAACATGCTGCTTGGGCACTGCCCTTGCTGAATGCAGTCACGCGCCGATAGGTACAGAGTCGCATAGTACGCTCAACGTTGCCTCACAGAAGCCACTTCCAGCAACGAACAGGTATCCCGCAGATCGCGTTCAGTAATCTGCATGCAGCGTTTCGTGTGAGCCATTTTTTGTAGTGATTGCACGGTAACGGTGAACGTGAAAAACTTAGCAGTCGCATTTGGCGGTGGGCAGCGGGTGTCCTGCCGGCAGCTGTCGCGGTTCTGGCCAGGGAGCACTGACGTACTGGGTTGACTGCACCGATGCATGGCCACCTGCACGGCGGACAACGGCGTAGCATCCGTACATCTTACAGCACAAAGACATTCTGCTCAAATTGCATCAACATGCTCTTGCATGGTGGCGTCATCCAGGAGATGGATGTTGGTCCATGTTTGGTGTTCAGGTTGCTCATCAGACTCCTCTGGCAAATGAACATGTTGATGGCATCCTCTGTAATTTACATGTAATTTACAGTATCTTTTCAACGTCATCAGCCGCAGGGGCGAAGTCGCATATCGTGGCAGCTTGACATCCAGCTGAGCTCACCTGGCTTCGCCGCCGTCGTGATTTTGGAACGGCGGGATGCGCACCGGCCGATGCCTGCGATATGCGTAAAAGCCCTGACGCATTGTATGTGGCTCTGATCAACCGCTCAAGCTGTCGTTTGGGTCCCCACTCGTAAGATCGCAGGCGGGGTGCTGTCATGCTTGAGAACGTTTCGCGTAAGATCAAGGCGTGACCACTCGGACTGGTTGGATTTCAATTTTTATGCAACATTTAGGGATCCATTTCTCGCCTTACGGTGCGTCACACGCGAGGAGGTCCTGCGAACCATCTCTCCACCTCACCGGGAACTGAGAATGATGCAGCCCCAACAGCAAATAAAATCGCGGTGTCGTGGGCCCACGCAACAGCCTGCCAGATACGTAGCACTCGCTGCTCGCGATGGCGCGTGCAGCAATGGCCGCCGACGGTGTAAGCGCGTTTGTCGCGCGGCAGTGGCGACCGACGCAGACGTTTCAATCACGGTAAACACCCAATGCAACGGGCAATCGGGGTGGCATTGATTTATGGCTGTGTGCTTGTACGCTAGCCAGGTGTGTGCCTGCCTGCCCTAACCACCTGTCTCATGCCTTTCGCCCAAACAAATACAGCGGCAGCCGCTGGGTGGGTCCGACCTGGAAGTGTCGAATGTGACCCTCGGGACGATGACGTTTGGGGAGCAGACGGACGAGGCGGAGGCGCACCGCATGCTGTCCTTTGCGGCAGAGGCGGGTGTCAACCTGATCGACACCGCAGAGGTGAGTGGCGCGGGCTGCGCGTTGAGCGCATGTGCACGCAATCTGCAGGCTGTGGATTGTTACGCCGCTGCGGACTGACCAGCCTTGGTTTTTGACACCATCTGCCCTCTAACTGGGAGGTCTGGTTGGTCGCCAACCCTGCGAAGATCAAAAGTCATCATCTTTCGAGGCCAAGCGGCCCGCGGCTGCATGGCTGTTAGTGCAGCGCGCTCCCCCCATGTGCGCCAGGCCGCCCACCCCTCCCATCCACTCGATGACCACACCCACTGAACCCAGTGCCGGTGTTGCAATGGGTCAGCGGCAGCACCCCCCGACACATGCATGCCCCATGCACCCTTGTGCTCGGGCCACCAACCACGCCCGACCCCCACTCCCACCC